TCCAAGACTTAGACTGGGAGGGAATATTGGCATCGATGAACACAACACAGAAATGGAAGTTCTTCAAAAAGACTGTATGTGAACCCACTGCAAAATATATTCCCATGGGCAACAAGTTTAAAAGGCTAAAAATCAAACCTATGTGGCTTACGGTCAAAGTTAAAAAAGCTATAGGTAATACGAAAAGAGCTTTTATTAAATATAACAATGTAGGAATGCTATCATCGTTTAAACATTACAAAGAATATAACAGAATATGCAAAAAGGAAATAAAGGCCACAAAAATTGAAAACGCATGACAGATTGCAAAAGATAGCAGGACCAACCCCAAAAAATTCTTCAAATATATTAATAGCAAAAAGGTAAGGTCCGAGCATGTAGGCCCATTACAAATTAATCTAGAGTGGGTGACTGGGGACAAAGTGAAGGCAAATTTATGAAATACCTTCTTCAGCTCTATGTATACAAAGGAGCATGGGGGAGCTCTTGTCCATAATGGGCAGGGTATTGACACAGCTCAAGATGATCCACATTGGCTCACAATTCATATGATCCAAAAATATTTAGACAGAATAAAGGTGAATAAAGCACCTGGACTGGATGGCATACACCCACAGATCCTTAAAGTATTGAGCTCTGTCATTTCAAAGCCATTGTTTCTCATTTTTAGGGATTCTTTAATGACTGGCACTGGATTGGCGTAAGGACAATGTGGTTCCAATATTTAAAAAGGGATCAAAATCTTTACCGATGAATTATTAGTTTAACTTCTACAGTTGGGAAGATACTGGAGAGTTTAATAAAAGACCACGTAGATGAGTTCTTAATGGAAAGAAATATTTTAAGCAACAGACAGCATGGATTCATGAAAAACAGAATTTGTCAAACAAATCTGATTTCTTTTTATGAGGAAGTGAGCAAAACCTTGGACAGAGGGGTGGCAGTGGACGTGGTATACTTGGATTTTGCAAAAGCGTTTGACACAGTTCCCCATACATGGCTAATGTGTAAGGTAAAGTCTACAGGCTTGGAAAATCCATATGTAAATGGATAGAAAACTGGCTAAAAGATCGTATTCAGAAAGTAGTGGTTAATGATTCATACTCTGAATGGTCTAGGGTTGTCAATGGTGTACCCCAAGGTTCAGTGTTGGGACCCTTACTTTTTAATATATTTATAAACGATATAGGGTCTGGAATTAACAATACCATTTCAATCTTTACAGATGACACCAAGCTGTGCAGTGGAATAATGTCCTTACAGGATGTCTCCAACTTACAAGCCGACCTCAATGCACTGTTTAATTGGGCAACTATGTGGCAAATGAGGTTTAATGTTGATAAAGGTTATGCACTTGGGGGCTAAGAATATGCATGCATCATACAAACTAGGGGGGAGTACAACTGGGGGAATCAATGGTGGAGAAGGATCTGGGGGAATCAATGGTGGAGAAGGATCTGGGGGTTCTGGTAGATCACAAGCTTAATAATGGCATGCAATGCCAAGCTGAGGTTTCTAAAGCGAGCAAAATCCTCTCTTGTATTAGAGGTATAAACTCCAGAGAAAGAGATATCGTATCACCCTGTACAAATCATTAGTAACACCTCATCTGGAATATGCAGTGCAGTTTTGGGCACCAATTCACAAAATGAACATTGGGGAACTGGAGAAAGTACAGAGAAAGGCAACTAAACTGATAAGAGGCATGGAGGAGCTCAGCTATGAGGAAAGATTAGAGGAACTGAATGTATTCTCTCTTGAGAAGAGGAGATTAAGGGGGGATATGATCAACATGTATAAATACATAGATGGTCCATATAGTGAACTCGGTGTAGAGCTATTCACCCTGAGGTCATCACAGAGGACAAGGGGGCACTCTTTACATCTGGAGGAAAAAAAAATGAATCTCCAAACTCAGAAAGGATTCTTCACAGTGAGAGCTGTGAAAATGTGGAATAGACTCCCTCAAGAGTTGGCTCTGGCCAGCTCAGTGGATTGTTTAAAAAAGGCCTGGATTCTTTCCTAGATACACAGAATATAACTGGATACTAACATTTATAGATAATGTTTTTTTCTCTGCAGGAGCAAATTTGGATCATGCTTTGCTGGGATTTTTTTTTGCCTTCCTCTGGATCAACTGCGGGTATAGGATTATAAATGTTTTTTTATTATTATTCATGGTTGAACTGGATGGACTTTTGTCTTTTTTCAGCCAGACTATGTAACTATGATTGGGTATGACATGCATGGCTCTCTTCAATGGAAATATCTCCTCCAGCTCATATGTACTGTATAATTCTAGACTCTTTGGAGTTAATAATCATTACTGGAAGCTATGCTTTAGGAGGAGATTCACCCAAAAAAGGGAAGTTCCTCTTTAAGTCCTATCCCCCCCCCCCCCCCACCACCACCACCACCACCACCACCACCACCTACTTTGGCATATAATTTAAATGAAATTTTTATTTAAAATGTTTATTTAAAAGTGGATCCACCCTGTGTGAAAGGGGCCTTGCACATGTCAGAAGGTCCATTTTTGACAGCAGCTGCTGTGATAGCTGCTGTATTGACAGAGCAAGTCCCAGCTGTCAAAATAAACACCAGCAAATGCTGAGTGAGAGTGACAGTGGGGGAGAAGGGCAGGACATGCTACACATGCCCTAATAATGTCAACTTTTTTTGGCATGTGTAGCATACCCAATGTCCACAGTTATGGAAATTTGCCTGATGCATCTGATAGCTCCCAAGTAATGGCATGTTGGGTATTTCTATGTTGGGCATTTTTGTTTGCTGCTTCTCTGGTATCAGTGGTTATTCCAGGTTTCCTGAAGTGAGATTATTTTCCAGGGATGAAACTGAGGGTGGAAGATAAGTAAGCTATGGGTGCTATTAAATGTGTAGATCTATATTAAAAATATACTAATGTTTAAAGCAGAAGCAGGTATGGATAATATAATATCTTCTAACTTTCTGAAATGGGAAAGAGGAATACCTTTTAGCACAAAATATGTAGGCAAAAGATACATCTGCCATCCCCAAGACAATTCCTAATTGATACACACAAAAAACGACTGAGCCCACAAGTGTTTTTTTTTCTCACCACTACTTTTCCTTTAGAATAGCTTTTCAAATTAACAAATGCAGATTAGATTTAGATGTTAAATCAAATATTTAGTGCAAGATAACACTTTTGTCAGTTAAAATGATAATAAACCCCAAAGAAAACATTTATGATATTTCAGCTTACCTATTCTTAGACGCGATGGTTGCATTAGTTTTTTTTTGGCCTTTTTTAAATTTTATTTTCACCTGGTGATCCTGCGAGTAAAGCGAGCCATACATGGGTCGTATTCCGTAATAATTTTCTTTAGAAAATCATTTCTAAGAATTTTCGTTCGAATTTCGCACCGTTAGTGGCCCACAGCAATAGCTGATTTTCAAGCAACCATCGAATTAAAATGATCGGCATGTTGGAAATTTTGTTGAAAAATGAATGAATTTCGAATCATTGATGGAAGAATCGAGCGAGAAAACGTAATCGAAAAAGACGTAAGCATGAGTTGTGAAAATTCTTGGCCATGAAAATTCTTTTCTGTAGCAACACAAGGTGAAATGAAAGGCTTGGTTGGTCAAATTTCGAAATCAACACTGGCACCATCGGATAACAAAATGAACTAAATTTCAGTATTTCTAAAGACAATTTGTTCGGAATTTGATCCATGTATGGCCTGCATTAGTCTGTTGTTTTTCGAAAGAACAAGCTGCCCTACAGATGTAGCAGTTAGAGGGTTGAGCCAAACCATTTACCACTGATAGGAGTGTTTACAATGGTCAACTACTATTTCTGTAAAACCTTTATCTCAAAAGGGAAAAAATGTTTGCCATAACTGTTTAAAAAGTTTTAGGAGTTTGACTTCAGTTTATTTAGGGTATCTAAATTTGCTTGTCCATCAAACAATTTGCTCCCCCCAGACTGACAATGCTGCAGTCCAAAGGTATCAAGGTTGTGTGGAAGACAGCGCTAGATCAGTGCCACTGGAGGCTGCCTATTGGCAAGTTGCTGTGTGGAGGGTATAGAGGGAATTGCTTCCAATGGGTTATATCCCAGTTGTAGGTGGTGGGTGATAGACTCAGTTGGGGTCTAGGGCTTCTACATTTTTGATAACATCAACGGAGGTGTTACCACAGAAAACATTTGAGTGACTGGATAGGAGCACCTGATGTCCAAAAAAGGTCTTGCTTGATGAATTGTTTATTAAAGATAAAAGTAAATAAGTAGAGCCAATGCGTTTCGGGAGAATTGCCTCCTCCTTCTTCAGGGTTGTTTATCTTGGAGAATGGTTAGACTCTGAAAGGGTTAAATATATTTGGTAAGCGGCTCTGCAGCATGCTGGTGTTGTGAAGCAGAGGCAGCCATAACGCCGGCATAGTGCAGAGCAGCTGAACTAATATATTTAACCTTTTCAGAGTCTAACCATTCTGCAGGAAATACAGCCCTGAGAAAGGGCAATTCCCCTGAAACGTGTAGGCTCAACTTGTTTACTTTTATCTTTATTAAACAACTATAAAATTCATCAAGTGAGACTTTTTTTTGGACATCGGGCGCTCCTCTCAATCACACAAGCACTCCAAAGGTGTCTCTGTTGTTCCTCCATCTAGTTTGTAGGCACTCTAATACAGAAAGTGTGGTACTGTCAGATCACCAGGTGAACATGGAGAGCAAAAAGTCCAAAAAAAACCCAGAAAACAAATGCGGCCACCACCTCTAATTATTGGTAAGCTGCAATATATTACATTTTTGGTTTTGGGTTTAATACCACTGTAAATTATACATTTTTCTAGAGGTCTATACATCATTCAAAAAAGAGGGAGAGAGGGATATGCTTTTAAAAAAAGGGACAATCCCTCCAAATGAAGGACTATTGGCAGCTATGGAGATAGTGTCTGGTTCCATTTTTATAAAGACATTAGGATAGGCAGTTTATAAGAAAATGACTTACCTACGAACAAAGCCACCACTAATAGCCATCTGTTCACGTTCATCCACGACACGGGCGGGCTGACTTGCTACCACTCCATCTTGATTATTGCCCCAAGCTTTTTTGTAAGCATCACTTGACTTAAGCCTATAGAAAACACATTGTCAATGACCTCTGCAAACATGGCTAAGATCAATGAGAAATGAAATGCCACACGCGCCATGGCACAGAGCCAATAAGAGCTGATTCAGGCAAATGAGCAACCAACAGGGCATCAGCTTATACCGATATATATCATAAACCCAATTACCTAGCACTGAAGTTCATCAGCTGTGAAATCCTGACATTTAATTAATTCATTCAGAACTTCATCTAACTGGTATAACATATATTTAGGTTTTTATTTCATCCGGTAAATAGGAAAACAGTCTTTTCTTTGACATAAAACACACATAGATAGACATACCGGCAGACAAACATAAAACAAAACTGCCAAGTATAGTGTGTACATCACATCACATGGACATCAGCGTCACATAAATTCACCTACACGGTAGATTGGCACTATGCAAGGGATTAGGTTGCATAGTATATTTGTATATTAAATATCTTAGTAGAGGATGAGTGAAAACAGCTATGTCAGAATACCTTGATTATTCTGATCTCTATTTTGTTTTTGGATAATATATCGGTACTTTTAGACTGTAACCATACATCGAGAGTTGATGTACAAACCTTCGTCAACAAAGACAAAAATAAAAAAAAAAATAATAAAAGAAATAAGTAGAGTGAAATGAATGCAGCAGCAAACGAAACAAGCGTTGTAGCATCAATGTCCAATATACCTTGTTCATGCACAAGCTGGTGGCATGAATAGGAGGTGAAACACTCTTCAACTAAGCACAACTGCTCCCATGGTTCACTATTGCATTAATGCACCATCAGTAACAGCTGTCACAGAGCCCAAACCAGTCAAAAGTGGACTTCTTGCCTTCTCTGCTTTAAAAAAAAAACTTAATAGTTAAAAAAGGTTTTCCACCTCTTTATGACTCTTCAGGCATCTCTTTGCTTTGTACACCATATTCTAAGCTAAAGTAGTTGTAAACCTCAGACACAAAATATAAACAAAGCATATCCCTCTATAGTGTGTACATGTTTCAATTAAGAGCATTAAGTGTCATTTCTGTCTTTTGCTTAATTTCTCTGCTATCAGCATGAATCACTTCTGACAAGTTTTCCTGACACCAAAAGGAAAAAAGATGACAGAGGAGGGACCTCCAGCACACAGCCTTTGAGGGACAGCCTCAACTCTGTACCTGTGTGAAGGGAGTGTGTCCCTTCCCTCCAATCAGCTCGTAGAGCTCTCCTCACTGAGCTCTGCAGAGTGTAATATCTCTGCCCCCTTTCTTCCAAAAGCTCAGACAAGCTTTATAAATTCTGGACTTTGAACAGCTGTAGAAAAGAGAAGACTGCTGATAAACAGGTACACCATATGTAGGAGGATTTGATTTATCTCTGTGTAGCACATGAGGCCAGTCACTTCACTGGGTTTATGTGAGGGTGTAAGGGTTTACAACCACTTTAAGCCCATCCCCAGCCATTTTTATTTCATAGATGGTGAAAGGGTCAGCTTTTTGCTATCCTCACTTCTTCTCTGTTTTTCCAATGACAGGCATCAGACAAAAAAGAAAAGGTATAGGAGAGACAGTAGTAAAGACAAATTACCTAGTAAGCTGAAGTTTAGAACCTCTGTTAAAAAATGTGTTGTTGGTGCCCCCTGAGAAAAATGTCACCTCACTTCCTGTCCATTTGACAGATGTAAGACAAAACAGAAAGTGAGGGGAAATCCCCCAAGCAATAAAAATATTCTACTTAGAACAGTAAGAAAGGTTTAGAACCTCTTTCAGACTGTTGTTGTCTTATCCCTACATGGAAAATTGTACTGTCTTCCTGTCCATGTGATGGGTGTCACACATAACAGGAAGAGGAAGATAAATCTCTTCTATAGGGACACAAACAGCTTTTAAAAATCTCTTCCATATGGGTACATCAGAATATGAAACCTGACAGAGGTTCTAACTCTTCTCCAGTTTATTCAAAAGTTAAAGAAAACAGTTGTGGCTGGAGTCAAGCTTGCATTGGTTCTTCTGATTTTCAGGCTGGTGTTTTATAAGCAAGCAGCATTGTTTAAAGTGGAACTAAATCCATCAATTTAACAGTTTCTCATCATCTTTCGCTATTAGACCCCCATAGCTTTAGACCCCATTCACACTTGTGTGACTTTGGATATCAAAGTAACATGACAAGTCGTACCCCATGTTTTCAAATGATAACCATTCATGTATGGGTGACTTGCACTACTTTGGTCTGACTTTCATGCAACTTGAGGTCCATAGATTTTGATGTTAACCCTTAAAAGTGAAAGCCGTACTTAAATGTTTTACATGCAACAGTGGTGCAACATTGGGTTCAACTTTGCAGAGGGAAAAGTCACAACCAAGTCGCACCCATCCAAAGTTGCACCAAATTTGCACTCCAAAGTCACGCAACTTTGCAGTCCTGCAAAATGTGAATGGAGCTTTACAGTCTGCTGATCCTGCATTGTGGCCAGGCACCATTTTCTGTACTCTAAGCTGAGCCTTATGACCCTTACATCCCAAACCTAGATTGTCAACAGCCGCAGGACCCACCTTCTGGAGCCTTAAAGCAATAGTGTTTAGTGTTTCCTAAAACATTCAAAGCATGCTGTGAATGATAACTGTCACACATGCTTGTGCTTTCAATCAAAATGTCAAGAAATCAAATGGTTGGTGTCATAAATGATCACATGTACAGCAGCATGGAAAACAGTGCCAAAGATGGCAGCTTCCTTGGCTGTAGTAAACAGGAGGGTTCAGTTCTACTTTGTGGTTTGTGTACATAGATTCTTAGTTTTGGTTCTGTCTCAATGGAACATTGTCCAGTGGATGGAAAATATTGTATCGGTGCTCTGCAATGGAAACACACTCGCCCACCTTCTATCTTGTGGTTCAACAAGGTGGAAGTCATAAACAACCTTGTGCTCTCTGCTCAAAACCGGCGACAGCAATACTCTGAAAAATGGACTCACTTGAACATGTTTGTATACTCCAATGATGGCAAGGCTCTGATGGAGACTGAACTTATCTCAGCCTTCCTCTGCAGCTTTGCTACTGCCAGACTGGGCACCTCCCTGCCCCCCCCCCCTTTTTTTTTTCCCTTTTATCCATTTCTTTCTATCTCTTACTTAAAAGGGTAAAAGGGGGTATCCCGCCCGCATCTAAACCATACCACTCGTGAAAGCTATGTACTGGGAAGGAAAGCCCTTGGTTTCTACTAGGTTTGGATTTTGCTGCTCAGTGGTGCGAACTTCAGCCTATGCTGACATGGTCTACTCTGCTAGTTCCTCTCCATATGTGTATTATTTATTTCTTTACCATGCATCCATGGATGTTATTGTTTTGTACATGATTTATGTAGTGCTCCCTGTATTTTGCTTTCCATGTTTGTAATTCCTGTTCGGATGAGGTTTGCTAGATGCTTCTTTACTAAATAAAACATTTAAAAAAATATTGTATGGCTGGCACTGCCCATGGGGTTCACTGAATTTATTAGAGGATGCAATGCAACATGGTAAAATGAAGCCACATAAAGGTAAAATCAATCAGTATATCTCTTTAAGCATCCTTCAGAAATACTGTTGATCCACATTTTGCTCTGTATCATTAGCCCAGCCTTTATAGAAAAGTTCTATCCCTGCATAGGTGCTTTCAGGAAAATAGATCCTTGAACGCTGGGTAAAAGATGCAACAATACATGCCCTGTGACACTCTACTTATCCACACAAAGTGGAGGAAGAAGACTGACATTGTTCCTTGGAAGACAACCTTCGACAGGATAATCCAATGGTGTCTTGCAGAAATAATTTTCTATGACGTTGTTTTAACTGACTGTTAGGACAGTCTAGCGCTCCTGCTCCATCACAGCTGCTGGTCTCATTCCAGCATCCTGGTTTTGGCTGTGATATATTCTCCCTGTTTATCTGTCCACCTGCAAAGTGATTGATGTGGCCAATATCTTTGGTGGAGATTAAACCTTATTTAAGCCAGCCAAGCCTTTGGTCTCATGGTTGTGAAAGTGTGTCCTGCTCTGCTGTTTGGATTCCCGGGTTTATGTCCTCTGATCAGATATCTACTATTCTCTAAACTCTTCCTGCCTTTTGACTATGGATTGGACCTTAACTACTCTGAACTTTGCCTGCCTTGTACCTGGACTGTCATTGAACCACTCTGCCTGTCTGCCAAACACAAGTATCTGTTTGCTGAACTCAGTTTGCACCTGCCCCAGTGTGGTAGCCAGGCACTATAGCATTGTGTATAAGTTCTGGGGCAACAGAGTACCAGTATGCCTGCTTGCCTCATGGGAAATGGGGCTGCTATAGGTGAAGAACACAGAAGCTAGCTATAGTGCCTGACTACTTGCGTTAGGGGTAAGAGCAACATTGACACAGTAAATACTTGGTCTGCTGCTTTCCTCACAAAAATACATAAGATATAAATCTATTACTGGCTGAACTGTATTTATCCGGTCTTAACCAAACTGCAGCTCAAAATTAAATAAATTATACTGATACAAAGCCCCTGCCTATGAATGTTTTCAAGGAAGAAACCATTGTGACACCCAATAATCAAATCTGCTTGCTAAAACCACCAGCTGTAAAATAATGAAGAAACAAGCAAAATACATAGAAAGAGAAGATGATGTAAAGTCAAATAAATTAAAGTCATTCAAAAGTGGATCACCTCTTTAACATGACCGTCCCCACCCCATTACTCCAAAGCCATTTTTGACTGGGTTGTCATAGCAAGAACCATTAAAATCTAGGCATGCCTGCAGTGGCAGATGTTAAAATGTGCAGCATTATCTGGGATTCTCTCCATATTAATCTAGTCAGGACATCATTTACTCTGTTGACAGATTAAGGAGCCTTCAATAATAATATTAATATCAGCAATAATCCGCAGCAGCTCTTGGGTTATATCACCTTGGACTTTGGCAGATCCACCAAAAATTTCTACTATATACGATCATGAAGATCCTTTTACACGTGTAGATTTCAGGGCTTCGTCTTAAATAATTATACTTCTCTGGGATTCGTATTCATATATGTTTAAAAATATGACATCAATAGTGATTAAAAATTTAGGCAAGAAGGTGATAGTAACACTGGGGGTTCCGCTGATCTAGGAATGGTGCCTGAGACGGTAGCACACATTTGGTACAGTTTCGCCAATAATAATCACTACCCACTATGCTGCACATGACCTACTAATTACATAACTGTGTCAAACCCCATTACATGCTGGAAACAATCTCCATTGTACTTCAGACTAAAATAGACTAGTTTGTATGACTGCAGAGTGTCAGATTTGCATACTGTAAAATTTTGGCTTTATCAGCACAACAGCTGTGCCAGCTGGTATTAACAGTGTCATCTAGGTCAACAGGACCACATTTACACAATTACTAACAGCCTCTGCCTTAAAGAGAGCAGAGATAAAACTTATCAAGGAGAATTGTTTACTGACCAAATTTGTCATAAATGTCTGCATTACAAGGTAGTCTATTCTGTGTCCGAAAGAGCCATATAATTCATTTCAAGAATCATTTCACTAATGAATGAAAATATCCAGCGCAACCATTTAGAGAAGTTTCAGGAAGCCCAGCAAGCTTCTAGGGAAAATTATCTACATGCAAAAATCTAAAATTTCAACATTTCCGTCAAGAGCATCATAAAAATTAAATTTTTAGCGTTTAAAAAAAAAAATTATCATTTGGCACCAATTTTGATTTTTATGCTACTAATTCTGTTCTTTGTGGTTTTGCAGTTTACCATTGAGCAGTTTTCTTTTAATGTAACGGAAATGTTGAAGTTAATGTTACCGTGAAGGGAAATGCAGTGCGACCTTCACTGCAGAATGCCCGATTTTAATACGTCTACTTCCCACTGTCTATTCTATGAGATGAATATTGATCTCTCTGCATGCCACATGCTTTTTTCCTGCCCATGTGTCTAGCAGCGATGATCTCTGCAAGGCTCAAAGACCAGCCTTGGGTGCTCAAAGACTTAGGCAGGCAGAACCTACTTGTTACATGGACAGACACATAGACCACAGAATTTTCCTAGGTCCGTCAAATTCTTTTCTGCTTCTTTCATGTCCTTATTGATTTGCTCCATCCCTTCCTCGATGCGTTCCAGTTGTTCTGATTAAATATAAGCATTATATCCCCACAGAATGAAGCAGATGGAAAAGGACAAAAAGAAAGACAAAAACTTCAGACATTCACTGTGACAAAAAAACGGACACCACAGAGCAGAGTCGGTACTCAGTACCTACTTGTTACAAGGACATATGAAAAGGCCACAGCATTTCCCTAAATCTTTTAAATTTTTCTCGGCCTCCTTCATGTCTTGGTTGATATGGTTCATGCCTTCTTCAACACGATCAAGTTGTTCTGGTCAGGACAAAGGGATGACAGTGTGGAATGAAATTTTATTTTGTCTTAAACAGAACATGATAAAGGACTATGTCAACGGAAAGTGCAAAGTTACTTCAATGCATTACGGAGATGGATGCATTGAGGCTGAGCAGATGCTGATCACTGAAGCCAGAGAATTTTTTTTTCTGTAAAATGGAATAAAATCACATTGACTATGAATTATTAGAAGTGAATACATGATCTGATCTGTTTAAACAGATAATGGCATGGGACATTTATATTTCTGTCTGTGAAGGCTCAAGACAATCCATGGACAAAGACTTTTAACAACATCTAGGTTAATAAATAAAATGTTAAGGATTAAAAGGTCATAGTTGTCACACAAATCAATGAACAAAGGCATCCTAAAAGAGAAACATGTTTGTTAGTGTTGGTTAGCCATTAACAACTAGTTGTAGACAAGAGTTAATCTAGCAAGCTGGAAAAGGAATAAGACAATTATTATTAGTTTTTTTTTTTGCAATTCCTTAATAACAAGCATATTTGAAAAGACAGCATAATTCATATACAGAGTTAATGCAATTAAATGTTAGATACAGTTACCCTCAATTTTAATTTTCAAAACTCATAGTAAGGGATATGCACTATTTAAGAACAATAATAATGGAAAGTTTGGACTTTATTAAAGAGCAAATAGTTGAAACATATATTTAAGTTGTTTTAAATTATGTATATATGATTTCAGTGTTTCTATTTTTGAATGGGTGTACATACTGTGAAATTCCAAAGCTGCCTAAAGCAGAATTTAAAAAAACAAAAATGGCACACCCTGTAAAAGAAGAAGCTTCATCACTTTGTTTCCTTTTCCTAAATCTTTGCTTTTCAAAGACTTCTGGACAACACTGCTGCCACTACCAGATGCGTGAGATAGCGTAACCCCAGCTAACTGAGCTCTGTGGTTCCTCCCAACAACCCCCACATCACTACAGGACACTTTAATGGTCACCTGTTACACAGTTCCAGTAAGTAAAAGACATCTGCAGCAGCCATTCTCCACTGCCACATCTCACCATTAGTGCGCCTCCCAACTGCAGCCAGCATGAAAGCTCCTTCTCTTATCTCATATTCCAGCCCTAGGTGCCTGAGTAGTCTACTGCCAAGTTCAAGCACTGTAAATAAGGAAAAATGGACGTGCATCACACAGCCACACAGTTTGGAATGTGACAGAAAGGCTTCAGTTTTGCCTACTCCCAACCAATGCCCCTCTAACACATTTTACCCGCTCATGGGCTTAAAGTGTTACTAAACCCACAACTATAAAATCAGTCTGTATATGCAGTAAAGCATGCTTGTTATACTCACTGTGCAGCCTAAGGGGTTAATCCTCTGCATTGTATAAAAAGGCTGTTGGATCCTGTCTTCTCTGATCCTCCCCTTCATTTGCTGTTTCCAATCCATCTGCCATATTTAGAGCAGCAGCGACAAATCTGCACATGCTCTATTTGGTGTATATTGCCAGACTTTTTTCTGTTTTGTGAGGGTGCATGTGATTAGCACAGGGCCAATCAATGCTGTCCAGACAGAGGGTCAGGGGTCATGCAGCCTCATAAAACAGTCAGAGGAGAATGAAAATCCCTCCTGCAAGATTAACCAGTGCTCAGCCAGACACTGGTAACAGTCACAAGACTGCTAAATACAGTGACAAGTCTGCACATGCTCTATTTGGTGTGTATTGCCAGAGAGAGGTTTTTTTTTTTTGGTAGGGTGCATGTGATCAGTACAGGGCCAATCACTGCTGTCCAGACAGAGGGTCAGGGGTTATGCAGCCTCATAGAACAGTCAGAGGAGAATGAAAATCCCTCCTGCAAAATTAACCAGTGCTCGGCCAGACACTGGCAACAGTCACAAGACTGCTAAATACAGTGACAAGCCTGCACATGCTTTATTTGGTGTGTATTGTCAGAGAGGTTTTTTTTGGGAGTGTGCATGTGATCAGCACAGGGCCAATCAATGCTGTCCAGACAGAGGGTTGGGGGTCATGCAGCCTCATAGAACAGTCACAGGAGAATGAAAACCCCTCCTACAAAATTAACTAGTGTCGGTCGGACACTGATAATAGTTGCAAGACTGCTAAATACTGATGCTGTGAAAAGGTATTTAGTAGTTTGTATTTACCAAAATAATTTCATTTCCATGTTGTGTGTACTGTGGGAGACCAGATATAGTGAATGCAGGGTCCTGGGGATAGTAACACTTTAACTGTAGGCCATGAACAGGTGCACTAGAGGGACATGCCTTGGGAGGAGGCAAAGCTGAAGCCTTTCTGTCACTTTTGCTACTGGCACGGCTTTCTGATGTGCACTTTCCTTTTTTTCAGTTGATGATATGGCGAGATGATCCCTTGGGGAGCTGTACCTAGCTGGGTTTGAATCACTGGGTCAATCCAGTGGAGCTCTGTTTATCTGGGTCTCAGTAAGCAAGCCGAAACATTGTCATATAGGGGACATGCCTAGTCTATAAAAATACAGACTTTCAGAAATGCTGGTATAGCCATGATTTCACCTTTACAGAGGCCCTGACAGCAACTTAAAAGATTTTAGATAAATGTACAGAAAAATAAATCCTTATTTGCAGCATTTTTCTTTTCAATAAACATTTATTGATTCATTTGCAATGGGCCTTGCTGGCAAGCTTGACTACTTCAAGAGCAGGGGCGGACTGACCATTTGGAAACTCTGGCACTGTCCGAGGGCCCGGGGTCAGTAGGGGGCCCCATGAGATGCCCCTGGTACCTTTTTCATAGGCTTTTTTGAGTTTGGGCAAGGACACAGGGGCCCCATGATCCCCTATTGCCCGGGGGCCCCATGAGTTGTCAGTCCACCCCCAGTTCAAGAGAGTCAATATTTAAAACAGCCCCCACTTTTCTTGCATGTCATAGGTCTCTCCTCTTCTTGCATTGTTTAGTTACTGCCTATGCTGGCTCAGCTCCTCTGTTCCCCCCACCTTCCTTCTTAACCTGCTATGTAGCTGCCAGGGAGGTGTGAAAGGGAATACAAGGGGAGCAAATGATAGGAGGAGAAAAGGTGAAGTAACTGAAAGTTTGGTGGATAAGATATGTTGTTACTGATGACAAAAAGGTGTGCAAAAGGGTTGATATTTCTGGAGGTGTCTGTAACATGGACATTATTTACCACTATTGGAAGATTTGTCAATGCAGCATAAACTACAGTTTAACTTTCTAAATGTAAAATATTGCACCTAGGATAAAACAGTCCTCTGATAGCATACAATATTGGTGGTACAGTTTTTGGCAATACTACAGAGGGAAAGGATTTGAGGTGCTCATTTCTGATTATTCCAAAATGACGAAACAGGGTAGCCTAGCAGTGAGGAGAGTGAATACTGGGGTACATCACTAGAGGGGTCACCAGCAGGAGAAAGGAGGTCCTGATTCCCCTATATAGATCTTTAGTTAGACCTCATTTAGAATACTGTGCCCAGTTCCAGAGACCTCACTTATAATATTACATTGACAAAGTAGAACAAGTCTGGAGATGGTTAACAAAAATGGTGAAAGGTCTAGGGGAAAAAACATATCAGGAGAGACTTCAGAACATAATATGTACAATCTGGAGGGAAGGAAAGGGGAGAAAATAAATACAATGAGGGTGTGAATAAAATTCAGAAGGACAGCATTTTCAATATGAAGTGAGAGTTGGTGATGTCACTACTCTGCTGCTAACAGTTTCTTGCTGGAAAGGAAGCTGTACATGAGGACTTGCAGTGCAAACATCACCCTGCTTCATTCATTCTGTAGCTTTGTACTTCATCTACCTCTCTTATGGGTTCCTGATCATTACCCTTCAGACATCAGATCACCAGTCACCAGGGAAGCAACTTTCACATGAGGAAGCAAAACACTGCCTCTACCAAAATGGCCTACTCCTCTAAGAGACAGTGTGGAATAAGACATAAGTCAGTAAAAGAGAAAGATCAGCTGCAAGGAGCCTATAGGCTGGTGATTAGTTCATTGCCCTCTGCTTGCCTTTTTTAAACATAACTTCTTCAATAAATGTCTTCTTTAAATGTGTTTCCTCTACATGACAAAAAGTCTGTACCATTAGCCTACTAAAACACCAAAGCTCTTTGTACATCATGTATAACATGTTCCAATAGCCAAAAATATTTCATTAGATTAAAGTATTACTAAACCCACAACAGTAAAATCACCCTGTATATGCATATGTCATAGTGTAGGGCAGCAGTGGCACATCTGCACATGCTCAGTTTGGTGAGTATTGCTAGAGAGGTTTTTTGGGGGGAGGGTGCATGTGATCAGCACAGGGCCAATCAGCCCTGTCTTGACAGAGGGTAATGGTTCATGCAGCTTCATAGCACAGTCAGAAGAGAATGAAAACTCTTCCTACAAGATTAACTAGTGCTCAGGTTAAAGCAGAGCTCCACCCAAAAGGGGAAGTTCCGCTTTAAGCACTTGTCTCCCACTCCCCATTAAGGATTGGCACCCTTGTGGAGCGCGGGGGGCCGAACCCGAATTTGACAAGTATCCGCTCCCACTTCTGCTGCGATTGCCTAAGGCGATCGGGAGCGGAAGTTGTCCTCCCTCCCTGTAGTCTTCTGGGACATGAGACAGGTCCCAGAAGACTACGGGGCCATTCACGAAGCGCTTATGTTTTGTGATATTTCGTTTTCCTGAAACCAAGAGGTAAAAAGGTGACAGGGCAGTGTCCTCCAGCCCATAGCCTATGACTGACAGCCTCAGCTCTGTTCCTGTGCGTTGTTTGAAGGGGGTGTGTCCCTTCCCTCCAATCAGCTATCAGAGCTATTGTACAGTGTGTACCTGCAGCTCTCTGCCCCCTGCTTTGTGAGTCTGTGAAAAAGCCTTTTCTTCTCTGAGTTTTGCAAGAATGTACAGGACAAATTACAGCAGACAAACAGGTACAACTTACATAGGAATATTTGGTTCATCTCTGTATTACCTGAGGCCAGTCACTTCACTGGGTATAGTTAAGGGTTTACAACCACTTGGGTAAAGTTTATCATCTTTAACCACTAGCCTACAGGGCACTTATACCCCCTTCCTGCCCAGGCCAATTTCCAGCTTTCAGCGCTGTTTCATTTTTGAATGACAATTGCGCGGTCATGCAACACTGTACCCATATGAAATTTTTATCATTTTTTTGTGACAGATAGAGCTTTATTTTGGTGGCATTTAATCACCTCTGGGTTTTTTATTTTTTCTTAAACAAACCAAAAACCACTGAAAATTTTGAAAAAAAAAAAAGTTTTTTCTTAGTTTTTGTTATAAAATTCTGTAAAATAAGTGATTTTTCTCCTTCACTGATGTGCGCTAATGAGGCTGCACTGATGGGCACTGATAGGCTGCACTGATGGACACTGATGAGGAGACACTGGTAGGTGACACTGATGGGCATTGACAGGCATCACTGATGGGCACTGAAAGGCAGCACTCATATATGGCACTGATAGGTGGCACTGATAGGTGGCACTGACTGGCACTGATAGGCGACACAGACTGGCACTGTTAGGTGGCACTGACTGGCACTGTTAGGCGGCACTGATAGGCAGCACTGACGGGCACTGATAGGCGGCACTGATGCACACTGATAGGCGGCAGTGACTGGCACTGATAGGCGGCACTGACTGGCACTGATTGGCAGCACTGATAGGTGGCACTGACTGGCACTGATAGATGGCATTGACTGGCACTGATAGGTGACACTGAAAGGCAGCTCAGATGGGCACTGATATGTGGCATTGATGTAGCACTGATGGGCACTGAAATGTGGCACTGATGGGCACTGACAGGTGGCATGGATGAGCACTGAGAGCTGGCACTAATGGACACTGACAGGTGGCGCTGCTGGGGCTAAACAGATCATCAGCGCACACTGATCATATGACATCCTCCCAGAACGAGAGAACCACCTTGTGTCCATCATATTACTATATGGTGGGCGGGAGGCGGTTAAAGCGGTTGTAAACCCTCACATACACCCAGTGAAGTGACTGACCTCAGGTGATACACAGAGATTAAACAAATCCTCCTACATATGTTGTACCTGTCTATCTACAGCCATCTTTTCTCTACATCCATTCAAGTGCAGAATTTACACAGGGTCTCTCAGCTCTGAAAATTAGGGGGCAGGGAAGTGAAGTTACATCAGTGAGGAGAACTCTGACAGCTGACTGCCCCTTCTGACAGCCCCCTTCACACAGCACACAGGAACAGAGCTGAGGCTGTCAATCTGCTGGAGGTCCCTCCCCTGTCACTATATTTCTATTGGTGTCAGGAAAAGTTGTCAGAAGTGATTCATGTTTATAGCAGAGGAATGAGGCAGCAGACAGAAGTGGCACTTAGTGCTCTGGATTGAGACAAGTACACACTATAGAGGGATATGCATTGTTCATATTTCACGTCTGAGGTTTAAAACCACTTAATAGGTGAAAATTGTGAAAATTTAAAATCAGTCCAAAAAAATGAATGCAAAGGTGGATATTTGGTGAACAATAGGGAGGATCGTACATGTCAAATGAGGCTGCAGACAGTATTACACAATGGGCACAATTCACTAAGCGGTATCTTACCGCATCCGAGTATGTGGTAGGATACCGCATAGCATTTAAAAAAAAAAAAACATTTGAATTCACTGAAAAACACTACTAAATTACTGCATGAGTTATTTTATCAAGTCTTGTGGTATTTTAGTATTGAAAACCATGCAGTAATGATTCAGCTGTCAGCGGGGTTCCCACTGACAGCTGAATGTAAAAGAGAGAATTGCCAGCAATAAAATAATGGTGTGGGGTCCCCCCATCCATGCCAAGCCCTTCAAGTCTGGTATGGATTTTGAGGGGAACCCCCATGCCAAAATTTAAAAAAAAATAGTGTGGGGCCCCCCCCCCAAAATCCATACCAGAACCTTAGCCAAGCATGCAGCCTGGCAGGTCAGGAAAGGGGGGGGATGAACAAGCCCTCCCCCCTCCGGAACCATACCAGGCCACAAAGCACCTTGCCCCATGTTGATGGGGACAAGGACCTCTTCCCCACAAACCTGGCCGGTGGTTGTGGGGGTCTGCGGGCTTATTGGAATCTGGAAGCCCCCAGAATCCAGTTTTGTGGGGCCCCCAGATCCCGCCCCCCCTTGCTAAAGAGGGCATGTGTCCTGGTATGGTTCAGGGGGGGGTGCACGTTCGCCCCCCCCTTT